ACAACTAATAAGTAGCATCAGAAGTAGAACAAAAGAGAAAAATGAAGATCTAAACTGTGAGTATGAGATGATTTGGGATGCAGAAGGATCAATGCATCTTGTCAAGAAAGCCTTGAGCACTCCTATTGCACGTACAAGCGAGAAAAATTTAGTAGAAAGGTTTGTTTCTGTGCTACATTTGTACGCCCTGTTTCTATTTGTATGCAGCTGTGTAGTTATATATATTGAGTCCCACGTCAGTTGGGTGTTGATTCAATGTGAGCTATATAAGCTATTATGGGTAGCCCCACAGTAGTCTTTTTGGAGTATTGTGTCCATGTAACAAGTGCGTTCTTAGGACGGTGACTTAGAATGGTCATAATCATCGCTGCAGTAAATGTACCTCTCTATGTGATGTTACTTTTCAAGGACTGGATTGACCAATGACATCCAATTTGCGCATTCAGTGGGCTCTGCATAATACAAAAAAGGAATACCATGCATGTCAAAGTATAGCTCCCATCTGGAAGTTAATCAGGTGAATCTTTATCGCTTTGATCTGATGTCCATGATCTGATCCCATCGTGCTTTTGTACTTTTGAGTGGTAAATGGAAGTGTTTCATTTATTGAGTGAAAGGGATGTAAACTGGATCAGGATCTTATTTTACTTTATGTTATATAAAGAAACCTCATTCACTTTTATCAGCATATCCTTTTGAAATTTGAACAACAGCTTTAGCAAATTTTGGCTTAGACAAAGTTCAAACAGAAATGTAATAACAACAGAACCTCAATCGTACTGGTAGAAAGGAAAATAAGGAAATTACCAGATGCTAGTTATCGGACAAAATAATATGATTATTGTTATTTTTCCTCTAAATCCAATTGATGGCGTCCGAGGAATTTTTAAACCGTGATGATGGAATTGGTAGAAATAAGGGCAAGATTAATTACACTGGGGGTTAGTTTAAAATAGGATTAAGATCAAGTCCAATTACATAATCGAGGAAGCCTGCATTATCTTCAAAACATGATTGGTAGTTGAAGATTCAGATAGTATGGCTGAACATGAAAATCATTGTTTAGACTCACCCGTCCTATTTCCAAGTGCGATGAACCAAGTGGAGTAAAGAAAACAGATAGGTCGAACCTATCCCAAGCATAATAGCTCTCGTGAATTCTTTTAACTCACTTGGAACAACCAGAGCCGTGTATATTGTCAGGCATTATAAAGAGCACGCTTATTGCAAATGTGGGTTAGACCAATTGGCCAAGGCAATGTACCCTTACACATGAGTCGCCATATTTTGGCTTCTAGAGTGGAAGTGGGAGGACATACTCATGTATTGATTGACTCTACATACTTTCCTCAACTTGACAGCATATCTAATTGTATCTGATGGTGAGTGGGGTCACAAGCATGGAATGAATGTGGAACTTGCTGTTTCTAGTGGATTTTCATACCTTGTGTGTTAAGAGTGGAGTGCAAGAATGGATGTAGAACTTACTGCTTACAGTAGTGGATTTCATACCTTGTGTTTAGAGTCACAGAATCTCTCCTAATGCAGGCAATTATAAAGTTGTAACTGAGAGTGTTGAGTCAACTTATCTAATTAAGGTCACATTTTAATTTTAAACACAATCATTGCACAACCCACAATTACAAATTCTTATCTTTTCTGGCCAATGCATCATTTCAAGCTTGGCAACCAGAAATTATTGCATACTATATATCCCCCCACATTGACAAGAAGGGTGAAAACATTTTCTCCCACTCAAAAGAAATGAGGGGAAAAGGAAAAAGGAGAAGGAAAAAAACAGCAAAGAGAATAAAGCATACACCAGTGGTAGTAGTTGTAATAATATTTATTCTTGTAGCAACATGAGCCAATCAAACAGCCTTTCAGATACAGATACTCCTCCATGTCAGCTTACATCAGTGTCCATGCTTGAAAGATCCAGCTAGTTAAAAAGCAAGAGTGTGGGCATAAACCTCTTCTGTGCTCCAAAAACCTAATTGGGTTTGCCCCAAATCAGGTAAAAAAATAGAGTTGGCACTCTAGAGCAAGTAGAATATAACCCACACAACAGTTAAAACCAACCAGACCAGCAGAAACAGGCATCCTTTCATGGAGTAGTGTAGTGTAGGTATAAGGAAAAAAGTTAAAAGCAAGAGACCAGGTGGTGAGGTTGATTGAGTAATTCTTGTATGAACCCGTCATATATACGATATTCCTCTCACAATATATGTATGCGAGTGTCATCTCGTACACATGTTCTTCTGAGAAGAAAGTCGCATATGGCAGGACTCAGACAATTAGTTTTGTGGAATATGAAGGTAAAGTAGAGAAGGTTGCTAGCTAGTCATCTCCTTGAATGTACCAGCAAAGGAGCATGGTGGCGCAGCGGCGCAAGATGTAAATACGAGCACGTTGCTCCTTCACCAAGGCAGCACATTTCCGGCTAAACCCATGCAGGCTTCGCTTTGCATGAGCCTTGGCTGTGACTGATGATGATCCACCCTTGTTGCATTGCACTTGAACCATATCCATGGCTGATGGCTGGTAGCTGATGATGTTGAAAAAGAAAAAGAAAAAGAAAAGAAAAAAAAGATCAAAAAAGAAGACAAAGCTCAGGAGAGCTAAGAGGGAGTTGTGTAGGTTAAGGAGGGTTGAAGTATATATACAATTTCAAAATGCATGGGGTTGGCTGAAGTTTGAAGGAAGGGAGTGAACATGGTCAAGCTCGGAAACTGAGGGATATGCAGCCTCAGCAGCATAGTTTTCTATGCAAGAAGGGGGAGTGAACGTGGGGTTCAAAGTAATATAAAATTATGGAAGGGACTTGTTTATAAATTTCAGCAGAGTAACGTAGGTTGGTTGGAGTGTGGAGTTGAAGTGAGAGGTTGATTAGAAAAGTGGCAAAGGTGTGGCATGAAAACTTGAAAACAGGAGGGCTGCTTAATCAAGACAAGGCAAGGGGATGTGGTATTGGGAACCAGAGACCGGCAATCTGACCTCAATTCTGAGGTACGTTGGTTTGGTTGGATTCTAGCATTCTCATCTACCATATTAGTCGTCACACATCTCAATATCCCAATAAACTATGAATATATGACTAACGATACGATATCTACACATATAATTTTAAAACGTAACAATACATCTACAACATGACTCATCACAGTTAGTTATCTAACTCATTATAAATATATATCGCCTTCGCATCCATGTCAGTTGAACATGAGACATTATCGAACCAAGTAGAGACAACTACTACCAAAGTCTGATTGGTTGATTAATTTAGCTCAATTGAAAAGAGATTAGGAACTAATTATATAATCTTAGGTGAAACAAGCTTAATTAATAGCTAGCTGTATAGATTGAAGCTAGCTGTATATGATCCTATTCAGTCATGTGTCTACAGTGCTGCCAATTGCATATCTATCTATATAATAAATCTTAGAGGATGTGATATGTGGGCTGCTGGCTAGTAAATATATATGGAGGCTTCATGGACTTTTCAATTAAAAAAGGGGTCAACTAATTTTTGAATTGAATATTTTACAATAATTTAATTCACTTGAAGTGGCAAATCTTACCTTAGGTGAATTTCAGATTTGGTGTCCGGATCCATATTCTCTCCAAATATCACATTGGGGTTAGCTGGCCAATGCAGACAACCCCAATCTCAATAGATATGTAAGGCTGTTCAATGATCTAGTAAATATATGATGCTAATTAGCATGATTTAAGTCTAAATTTCTTTTTAATGGTTCAAAACGATGTGTATATAGAGTAATTCTTTATTGTCATATAGACTGTTAGTTAAGTAAGCAATGTTTGAATTTGCAACATTCATATGATCTGATCAACATCACATGCCATACGTTTAACTAGACCAAATCAAAATCGACCATCAACATAACATGTCATACTTTTAGCGAGACCAAACCAAACCCGGCCCATTATATTTGGCTCGAAGGGTTAGTTTCAAAACTAGGGAAGGAACCATGTGATTGGTTTCATAATCTTACTTCCTTCGAATCAAATCTAAAGGGCTTCAAGTTGGTTCATAAATTTTTAGAAAATCGAACTTCGATTTTATAGAGTTCCCGTAAAGATGGAGGGGGGACTGAATAGTGCTTGCTCTTTTACTGATAGCTTGAGTACCAAATTCGATGGAACATGAAGAAGATCCAAAGAGGGTTTGATTGTTCCTTCGAGGAACATGCCTTCTTAACTTGTGAAGGGGAAAATGCCATGGAAAATATTATATCCTCATGCAATGTACATCTTAAAGTAGTAGAGTATATTACAAGTAGCCATCATCCCCAGCCTGTTAACTTAATCTTGTACCAATTAGATTTGTTACTTAAGCAACGTTGTTAATGAGATTGGTTTTTCGTATTCTACTAGTACAAAGTTGTGTACTCCTCAAACAAAATAATCATTGACCTGATTTGTAGCACCTTGTATTTGGTACAAGGAGGATGTCTTAATAGGCAAGATTTGTTCCTACTAGAGTAGATGGTTGGACAATCTAAAATGTATGATAATTTTATCGTAAGAAATGCTACGGACAATCTAAAATGTATGTATTATGATACCCTAAATGCTACTGTTAATCGTTTACGGAGTTTTTGCCATAGATTTTTTCATATTTCATTCAACGTAATAAATGATCATGATTAGATGTACGTAAAAAGAACTACTAATCATCTTGCAAATTTGCAGTAGTTTTATAGACAATTCGTGTCATCTTCATTCGAGAGGAGGGCATGTGCATATTTAATATGAATCTATGTTATTACATAAAATCCTGAATAACCACATGTTACTATTTCTTTTCTTCATTTGTAAAACAGAAGTAAGATAAGCATCATTGTTGAAAATGCAAAAAACAATAAGTGACAGAATTCGCCTTAATAGAGCTCAATTTCAACGAAGGATTTGATAGCAAACCTGGTTCGTAGGATCGATGTGCCCAATATGCTAAGCCCAAAAATAGATACATATTCTATGTTACCACAGGCTTCTTCCCCGGGGCACTTAGTTTCATCATCTTCCAGGCCCAATGATGTTCATTTTTCCTCAGTTTCCCCTTGTGAAAGGCGTTCCCAAAATTCTCCATTCATTTTTAAATTACCAGTTGATGAAAAATCATTGTCACTGACACATTCTTCCCATTCAGAAGTACAACCTACAGCATTGATTAATTACTCGGAAGAAAATAAAGATATTTCCTGGTACCCAGATTCACTTCAGGAATTTCTTCATTTCCCTGAAAATGTCCCTGACCAGAATGGCCTGGTGGATAGTAGTGCTGGTGTCATAACATCTGAGGATCATGCTGAAAAGACCGATTGGTCTGATTGGGATCCATTAATTTCCTTTGATGATGCTCTGGACCCAAACTGGGAGCTTCCCATTGATGTTGATGCAGTGGATCCCAAACCAAAGGTGTGTTTTGATACTTCTATTTGGATGATTACAGTCAGTATTTCCAATAGAGCTAAAACATTTTGATAATTTCATGGCTATTTTATTGTTTAGTGAATAATAATGTGGTATGATATTTTGTTTCTAGTCAGCAGTGACCTTAATATATAGCGACTATTTTGTTTTGACACATCTTTTAGAGACTTCAAAAAATTGAATTTTCACATTGAACTTTACTTCGGGGTTAGTCTGTCTATGTTTACTTATAACTTTAAACATGCCAGGTGTTGAACCCATATTCTGATATCCTGGTGCAGCCGCCCCTGATTCAACAGCATCAGCCAGTTCAATCTGAAGAATTTCGTCCCAGCCCTGAACCATTGTCCACTGCACCTCCAACCAAACCCAGAATGCGTTGGACACAAGAACTTCATGAAGCCTTTGTGGAAGCTGTCAACCAGCTTGATGGGAGTGAACGTGGGTAACTCATGCTACCATGTTTTGTTTTTGGTCATCATGTTATAGTTCTTTATTTCCATGGGTATGAGAAGTGACAGCTTCTTTTGTCATTGGCTAATAACTAACAAACAGGAGCTACTCCTAAGGGTATTTTAAACCTCATGAAAGTTGAAGGCTTGACAATCTATCATGTAAAAAGCCATTTACAGGTATGCGAATATATTTCTATCCTCGATTAGTTCCCTATGACAAGTTGGTGGTTGTTTTATTTGTTTTGCTGGACCTTTTTTTATTATTTTAAATTTCAGAAATATAGAACAGCCAGATACAAACCGGAGTCATCAGAAGGTAAATATTACCTCCTTTGTTATTTATTAGGTGTTTTGCTTGAAACATCTTTGAGGCCTTTGGCTTGCCAAATTGTCATTTATAAAAATGTTTTGATTTCTAGGTGGTTTCTCTAATTAGTCCTCCTGGTAGTTATGAACAGCCTTTTGTGTTGCTTGATGGTTAAACTTTTCTTCAAACTCTTAGAAATACTGAGCTGACTTTCATTTATACATTTCTGTTTCCCCTCACTTCCTATGTTATTGTGTTACAGTATGAAATATACATCATTTGTGTTCCTTTATTATGTCATTATAATCCTCTCTTGTCTGAAAAAGAAGATCCCTATGTGTATGTCTATGCGTGTATGTAGACATCTCTTCGTAAAAGAATCTAGCATTTGAGTTATGAGTAAATTATGTTCTTCTTTCTTTTCTGCCAGGAGCGTGTGAGAAAGTTTCAACTCCGGTTGAAGAAACAAATTCTCTAGACTTGAAAGCGTATGTATTTTTCATTCACCCAGAATATTGAAGCATAAGCATCTCACTCTTTTCTTTTCCTTTACTAATTTAACCCCTCTAGTTTGTGACCATTGCTATACTATGTTATAAAAGTTTCGTGTATTCTCTTTGTTAGCACAAAAGTTTCATTTATTAACCTATGCAACTGGGAATGCTAAGCTTTTCTGCGAGAGATCTGTACTACAATCTATTTGTGAGGTATTAAGTTGAAATCAGGCTTCTCCTTTTGTTGTCCACCTCGTGCAGGAGTTTGGGGATTACTGAAGCATTGCGGTTGCAGGTGGAGCTCCAAAAGCGGCTTCACGAACAACTTGAGGTATGCAGTTGGAAGACACAGATTGCCTTCTCTATTTTCTGTTTAGAATGTGTAACAACTGTTTGCTTGTTGGGAACTGGGTAGGGTGTAAAGAATCAGTGTAATTTACATCTTGAGAGTTCAGTTTTGTTTCTTGTTTAAATTAGTTTTATTGAATAGTAATCCTACCCAGTTCTTGAGTTTCCTCACTCTCTCTCTCTCTCTCTCTTTCTCACACACACACACACACACTCTCCTTTGTTTCGTCAACCAAATCCCAATCAATATTCAATCGAGAAGGACAAGAATACGTATAAAATGGCAAGACCCAAATTAAGACAAGATGCAAATAGCAGATCATCATCCGCTTTTCGCTCAACCAACGGTCAGCTACCAAATCAATTAGATACGTGTGGGAACACTAATCACTCTTTATACATCCTACTACTTGTTCACTCCTCTGCAGTCTTCACCAATACCAGAGGAGGAGAGCTAAATCTCATCCTTCTTCTGCTTCCCATCCCAACTCTCCCAAGTTCTAGGGCACTTCCCAAACTTCCAAGTTTGATTCAATCTTCAGTAAGTGCAATTCTCAAGTTCAAATTCTATTCTGGGTTGCATTTATATATTTGATTCTTTATGTTGGTTGTGTGCATGATGCTAATTGATGATTTGGGCAGATAGGATTAGTTCTTATTGGTAATGTTTGGTCTTAATTAGAGCCAATTGTTATGCAATGAAGTTAATGTGGAATTCTTGTAAGTTTGTGGAGGTGATGCAGAAGTTGAATATAGATTCAGTTCTGTGCTCAAACTGTTGACATAATGATCTACTCAAATGGCATTGATCTCAGGGAATTTTAGACAAAACAAAGACATTGAGCTTTCTTTTATTCTATTACTAATGTTAAGATTAAGACTAGTTTGAATTGGTTCTGATTCTGATGCATACCTTTAGGGAATGCAGTGATTGCTTTTCCTTTTTTTTCTCGGTGAGATTTGACCCTAAGGCCTATCCTTCACCATAATTCAAAAAATCAAGGACACTATGTTTGCTGATTTTCTCTTTCCAAATCATGCTGTCAGTTCTGCCTACTTACTTGTGGCACTGATGCCTGCCTAATGTTGCAATGCACATTTGATTCTCTTAATCACAGGATTTGAAGCTTGAATCATGGCTGAAGATCTAGATAAACCACTGTTGGATCCCGAGAATTTCAATAGAGAAGGTGTCGATTTGGTAGGTTTAGTTGCATTACGACAACCACATTTTGGAATTCATTCCCTACAATAGCATTTTAAGACACTTCAAATATAACAGGAACGCTTACCATTGGAAGAAGTTTTCGAACAACTGAGGACATCACCGCAAGGACTTTCATCCGAAGATGCTGAAGCCAGATTGAAGATTTTTGGCTTTAACAAGCTTGAAGAGAAGACGGTAAGCACCACAGTTCCTAAATATGTTTATAAGTTCAGTTTTATTGTTTTAAGGCAAGTAGAATACTCAATATCAGCTTAAAGCTAGATTGACAGAGTAATTGCTATTAAAAGCCCCCTCATTAATTTCAATGCAGGAGAACAAATTTTTGAAGTTTCTTAGTTTCATGTGGAACCCCTTGTCATGGGTTATGGAAGCTGCAGCAATTATGGCACTTGTCCTTGCTAATGGTGGAGTAAGTAGAGTCTTACACTAAGTATTCATTTCCATTTCAGGGCAATGTAAATTCTGGTTTATAACTTTATTCTGTGATGAAATGATATTTCAGGGCGAGGGTCCTGACTGGCAGGACTTTGTGGGGATTATTATCCTGTTAATAATCAATTCAACAATTAGTTTCATAGAGGAGAACAATGCAGGGAATGCTGCATCGGCTCTTATGGCTCGTTTAGCTCCGAAGACAAGGGTATGCCCCTTTGGTTGATGCATTTGGCACAGAGAATGTCACCTTTATGCCCATAATAGCAGATTAGCTCACATTTCTTTCTTGCAGGTTCTCAGAGATGGGCGCTGGCAAGAGCAAGATGCAGCTATTTTGGTACCAGGAGATATAATCAGCATAAAGCTTGGGGATATCGTTCCAGCTGATGCTCGCCTACTTGAAGGAGACCCTTTAAAAATTGACCAGGCAAGTGCTTGAAAAGCCAACTTTGTTGTCTAACTATCAGCAATTATATAGCTGTCACTTTCTCCGGGTGACCTGTTTGTTGGCTTAGTGATATGATCCACAGAATGAAGTAATGTTTTGTGGAATTTGTTCCTGCAGTCAGCTCTTACAGGAGAGTCTCTACCTGTCACCAAGAGGACAGGAGATGAAGTGTTTTCTGGTTCAACATGTAAGCATGGAGAGATTGAAGCTGTAGTGATAGCAACTGGGGTTCACTCCTTTTTCGGAAAAGCAGCACATTTAGTTGACTCCACAGAGGTTGTTGGACATTTCCAGCAGGTAATTGAGCGCCTAACATGCTCCTCCTGATGTTAAATTCTCACAGTGACATAGTTCATAAGTTTGAAATCATGAGGTGACATCAGTGACGCGGTTTTCTGCAGGTCCTTACCGCGATTGGGAACTTCTGCATTTGCTCTATAGCTGTGGGAATGATTCTTGAAATCATTGTCATGTTCCCCATACAGCACCGCTCTTACAGGGATGGGATCAACAACCTTCTTGTTCTCTTAATTGGAGGAATACCGATTGCTATGCCAACAGTGTTATCTGTGACACTTGCAATTGGTTCTCATAGACTCTCTCAACAGGTGCATCTCTTTATAGTTTAAGTCACATAACATTTTGGAAGTCAAAAAATATTTATGCTCCCACATATTAAAAGGGGTACTTTGGATATTCAGTGGAAGAAAAAGCCTCCAATTTTGTGCTTTGTTCTGCAAACAATATAGCATCAATCCCACATATTCAGACTGACAATGTTTGCATACCTTTGATTTTTCTTTAATTCAGGGTGCCATTACAAAAAGGATGACAGCAATTGAAGAAATGGCGGGAATGGATGTCCTCTGCAGTGACAAAACTGGAACTCTCACCCTTAATCGCCTCACTGTTGATCGAAATCTAGTCGAGGTATGAAAGCTGACTCCATGAGAATTTCTTAATTTCAAACCATGGAGGCAAAAGTTAATATTAAGTGTCCTTGATATATCATGTTTTGGCCATATGGTTTGGCTGAATAACATAAAACATATGCATCTTTGCAGGTTTTCAACAAAGATATAGACAAGGATGCGGTTATCTTGTTTGCAGCCAGAGCAGCAAGACTGGAGAATCAGGATGCTATTGATGCAGCCATCGTCAATATGCTTGCTGATCCGAAGGAGGTAGGGATACAATCCTGCTGTTTTGTTTGTTTTCTATTCTGTGATGGTTACTTATGCATAAAAATATCCTTTGATCTATAGGCAAGAGCAAACATCACAGAAGTGCATTTTCTACCTTTCAATCCAGTGGACAAGCGTACTGCAATTACATACATTGATGCTGATGGTAACTGGTATCGGGCCAGCAAAGGAGCTCCGGAACAGGTACTGATGTATTCAGAGGACAAGTACCTTAATTCTTTGATCCCCTGCAAACAGAAAAGTAGTAAACAACACAATTAAGTTTACATTTTAGAAGCAATAGCTGATCACTTATGAGAACCAATGGTGTATGAGAAGAAATTCTTTTGTTGTTGCAATGCCAAAACCTGAATTATTTTTCTTTTGTTTTTTCTTTTCCATTCTCATCCTGAAATCAGATTCTAGATCTATGCCCCGAGAAAGATGAGATTGCTGGAAGAGTGCATAACATTATTGACAAATTTGCTGAAAGGGGATTGCGGTCTCTTGGAGTTGCTTATCAGGTATGCCATAGCTATGCTCTAATCCTTTTAGTGCTGGTGTGAGAGTTGTAATGAACTTAAAAAAAGGAAGAGTTTAAATTATCAGTTAGAAGATGGAAATCCAAAATTTAGGTAACAACAGTTTTTCAGCACCAGATGAAATTTCTGACATACTTCAACTCCCATGTTATGGTACTGCCAGGAAGTTCCAGAAAAAACTAAAGAAAGCCCTGGAGGTCCTTGGACATTTTGTGGGTTGTTGCCCTTGTTTGATCCTCCAAGGCATGATAGTGCTGAGACTATTCGAAGAGCACTTAACCTTGGAGTCTGTGTGAAGATGATTACAGGTACATACATGTATCATCTTGGCCTTACATAAAAAATGTGAATATCATCTTTGTTTCTTGATTAAAACTGTAAATCGTTTAGCATAAATGTCAAAGATAGACACTGATTCTTAAATGCTTGTTCTCACATTAGGTGATCAGTTGGCAATTGCAAAGGAGACAGGGCGACGACTTGGGATGGGAACAAACATGTACCCTTCCTCTTCATTGTTGGGCCGTGACCGTGACAAAGAAGAACACGAAGCTCTTCCGGTGGATGAGTTGATTGAGAAGGCTGATGGCTTTGCTGGAGTCTTCCCTGGTAAATAATCGAACACCTGTTTCACGAAATAAGTAAATTCTCTCCCTAAGGCTCCCTAATTCTTTAGAGACTTGAAAATATGAAAGACAGGTTACTGTTTGGTGGGGTGTGTGTGCATGTAACATTTGTAGCACATATTTGTTTCATACATATTTCCATCTCTGGATCACTCACCTACCTTATCACTGCTTTCACTTTCAGAACACAAGTACGAAATCGTAAAAATTTTACAAGAAAAGAAGCATGTGGTTGGAATGACCGGAGATGGTGTTAACGATGCACCTGCTTTAAAGAAAGCAGACATTGGTATAGCAGTGGCAGATGCCACAGATGCTGCAAGAAGTGCTTCTGACATAGTCTTAACTGAGCCTGGCTTAAGTGTGATTGTCAGTGCTGTCCTGACCAGTAGAGCTATATTCCAAAGAATGAAGAATTATACAGTGAGTAGTAATCTTTTCCCTGCATTCAAATAATGGTACATTTGTATCAGTAGAATACCAGGTAGAGAGCAGTAAAATCATAAAGCAGTGCTTACTTTGCCTTTTAACCAGAAATTCTTCAATTTCTACTAGATAGGATTTTTACTTGCATTTTTTGTTTTTATTTGTAATTTTATTCTACGTTTCTACATTGGTTTGATGGTAAAACTGACT